AAATTGTCATGCCACTTGAATGATTTTCCATTGGAGAAGTGCATGTTTGCTATTAGGATGAGGACAGGAGCATAATGGAAGCCACTATCATCAAATAAGCCTTCAATCGAGCCTAATCCCTAAAAGTTTGGCAGTGAGCTCCCATGCAACAATTGCAGCAGCATTTGCAGGAAATGCTCTTGCTAATGTGGAACCAATGCCAGTGTAGCATCCTTTAATTCCCTTCATCCTGTATATCTACAGAAACAGTCCTGATAAGAATGTGCCATAAGGTGGTTTGAACATCCAGGATTCTAGGGGGAGGAAAAGAACTACATATTACCGAATAACAGTCTTTGCCACATCAAAGGGTAGAACCACGGACCAGTACTGTCAAGAAGACCAAATATTGTGAAATCCAGTCTCATATGATTCTTATATGCATTAAGTTGTCAAGTACTTACTGCAACACCACCAAGCCCACCAGTGATTGTACCAATSCCTGCATCAATCAATATATTTGGCAGATGGCTATAGACAGATGAAGCAGAATTCACTTGCATGTACATGTAGTAGCGTGTATACTCATAAGTGCTGAAGAAGATCATATTTCCAACAGATTCTCTCAATAAAGTTGCAGTACCTCCACGAAATATACCCTTAAGCTGAGAATATAGATGACAATAAGTACCAATCACATCATTCTCCATGTTTCAAAGTAAACAGAGATATTATCTTACCCCCTCACTCTTTATTGTTTTAACAGCACAATCAAGAGGACTACTGTATTTGTCACATTTACCAACCAGCGAATCAGTCCCTTGAACTTGCATCCTACATGGAAGATCTCAATGTCACATGCAGAGATATGGCCAACAGACAATTGAAATACAGGAGGGCAGCAATTCACCTAAGCTGATTATAGCTCCRCCAYAAGCTGCTGAAGGAATGATAAACTGAAGTTGTGGCTTACTGCTATTCAGTTCTCCCTTCACAAACAAGACATAGTACAAGTGTTTAACTAACCAGGGATTAAAATTAACTTTTGTAAGTAAAAATATATGCAACATCAACTAATGAGGTTATAGCCTGCAACAACTTGTTTCGGTGTTGAAAAAAATCATTGAACAGCATAATCACTCTATGACAGAGAAAAACCTGAAGTGATTTTTTGGTTTGGGAATAAATDCCAAAAAGAATTGAACTTTCAACTGCCACTCCAATAAAAGAAGAAGTTGCACCTCGATATAGTCCTCTAACCTGTAAAATAACATAACCACACTTCATTATTTAGAATCAAAATTATGGAAAAGGTTTAGGTTTCTCAACTATATTACAAATTCACAGATACAAGTACTGTTTAGACCATCTGACCTGAATTGAACCACTAGATGCAGATGCACTAATAGCAAACACCCCCCCCAAAAAAAAAAAAATGAAAAAAATGAAAAGAAATAGATTCAGAGATATCAAATCAATGCAGTACAGCTTGTTTAAAATGAGATGGAGCCCCCTTCTTAACAACAATACTGGTATTTTTTCTATTAATGAATATCATGGTAAATGTTTACAAAACTCTAATATGCTATTAGCTTTCTACCAAAAATAATAATAATAATAATAATATGCTATTAGCTAAACTTAGGAAGACAGTATTTTATGTACCACATACAGGAGAGGCAAAATGCTCACATCTTGGCAGGAAAATATCACTCAGTTGAATCTATCACCCACAAGATTTCTACTCAATTTCCATATAGAAGGTCTGCAGAGGACACTGGCAAAGTTACCTCATATGCTCAAGTTGACTAACAAGAACAGATAAAATGACTGCTTGTTATCCCAATTGACTCAGATATCTCAAAATGAGTGAACACGTAGGAAGCGGATTGTGTAGTCAGTGACACAAGAGGAAGCATTATAACTATAACCAAGCCTCCAATTACCTGTCAAGGAAGAAATACAATTTTTAAATGTTACACTATCAGCTGGATGTTGCTGGAAATAACTTATCAGAAATCACTTAAAAATGAAAAGAGACAAAAAAAGAAAAGAAGAATAGTATACTATCTATGCTAGAAATAATAGTATTTCCCCTTCATTTCCTGTAAAAGGGAGCAATAAGAGCAGGTTGTGCTTCTATTTGCTAGTATTTAGACAGAGTTCTGTTTCACCTGTATAGATGCTAAGGTGCTTGGACCTTGCATGGGCACAACTTGAAGCAAGCTTCTGCCCTGGAAACCAAAAGACAAGTCATAAGGAAAGACAAATACCAACAGCATGTGAAATTGTATACTATCTATGCTGCATATACAAAGAGTTCAAGCCACAATAAGGAAAGACAAACCACTTTATTTGAGAATTTTCCTTTTTTCTGTTGCTTCTCCTGTGGATTGAATCGTAAGTACTTGTTAAATCCTGAATTCCTGAGTTTTATTGTAAGAGAATTCTAGTAAAATCTCAGCCTCAGTCTGGAGTGAAACAAAATTAACACATATCAAATAGTCAAGTTTAAGACAGCATGTACACATCATTATCTTCGTACCATAATTTGACTATTGAATCATAGTTATACATCATTATCTATTAACAGCTTAGGGGTGATTGCTTGGTGGAATGGTAATATCATGAGTGAGAGAACATGAGATCTAGCCCAAGAGTGGTTGCTTAATGCAAAAGATGCTAGAGGCTAGGTCCATATCCGGCCCACCCCTCCCAAGGTCCCAGATAGCTGGGACCACAATTGGGTAACGGCCTTCCTCTATAAATCTAGCTACATCATTGTTTATTTTAAGCAACTTTACAGAAAATGATTTTATTACGGATCATCCCCCCAAGCTTAGACCCTAAATTCCTCATTCCAAGAGATTAAAAGTTCCCATTAATTCTGTTAATACATGGATGGCAAAGAATATTTGTTTCCTTGGTGAACAGATGAACAATAGGAAAACTTAGTAGGAAAGCTTCAAAGGGAATGCTGTTACCAAACTACCAATATTTGACAAATATGGTGATGCAGACAAGTGCTATACCCAGAATTCTCATGTATATTAAGAAGAAATATTTCAAATTACTCCGCATACAAAATAATTATTAACTATTATTATTATCTGGTCATCTCTGGTCCCCCTGTACAATGGCCTAAACAAGGTAAAGAATGGGGAGATCTGCAAGCTGTAGCAAGGGTGTAGATGGAAATACTGTCATTTGGAAAAAACCTTCAGATGATTCATGTATCTCTGGTCAGAATGAGTTTAGACTTGAATTGTGCATCGACTCTGATGACCCAAATTATGCCAAATTGCTATTTTTTTTTGGAAATGCCAAATTCCTCACCGATTGCCTGGTGTAAAAAAACCGTTAATGGTAGCAGTGAAGTAGATCGATCCCAAAAATGAGTTAGTGAGAAAAAAAAAAGAAGGAAGAATGAGGAAGAGGAGGAGAGGAAGAAGAAGATTCAATCAGCGGGCGGTTGATTTCGAAGGAGGAGGAGGAGGAGGATAATGGTTTAGCAGTGGTCTTACCTCGCCGGAGGTTGGTTCGGCCCTCTGTTTGGCGATGGAGTTCTTTTCAAAAAAATAAAAAAAGATATTCATATCCGGAATGGGAATCGCATTACTGGGGAGGGGTCGAGAATGGCCGTTCGCCCATACGAGTGGAAATGGGATTTCGATTCCGTCAAACCAAACATTTGGAATCGAAATGGATCATTCCGATTTCGATTCTGGACCCCTATTCCTGCGAACCAAATAGACCCTTAATGTGAATCATGTCTCCGGATCTTGCATAGCCATCAATCATTAAATTTCAAGAAAAAAAATGAAACCCACAATTGCTATCACATTAGAAGTTTTGAGACCCAAAATAAAAGCAGGAAAAGAACGCAATCCTTAATTAAGAAAGGTCCTAAAAAAAATGGGCATTGAATTTGTACCGCCGATTTGGAGTTCAGGGTATAACTCTGACTTTGGAACCATACAAGAAGTTACCGCCGTTGATTCCACGCCATTGGACGTTGGTTGCGCAGGGGTTTCGTCAGTGGTTGGCTCACTGACCAGGGCTAGAGCTCTGAATGAGAGAGCATGGGAGGGGAGTTCGACAGAGGCTTCCAAAGTGCAGTTTTTTGGTCTGTTAGTGTCGGGTTCAACCGGACGAATCGCCGTTAACGGCATTCACACGCTATTTCTAAAATAAATCGAAAGAGACGACGTGTTTGCCTCTGATTGGAGGGAGCCGATGCGTCTTTTTCATCGTCATCCATGTAATTTGGGATGTGTGGTCGTAGTTCTTTGCGGGGAGAGAAGGGGAGGTTAACTTATTGATGCATCAAAGTGAACTCAGGTCCAATGGCATCCATTGTCACCGCTGTTAACGGATGCGAGGTTGCTTTATCCTCTGCTGATGGAGGAGGATATGGCGCCAGGCCAGCAACATTGTTTAGAAGGAGAGGGTTTCTCTTATCTGTCATGTTTGCACCGTCGACGGCCGCTGTTGCAGCTCCCCAAGTCAACGACTCCAGGACTGAGCTTCTTCAAAGTAAATATGTTATCCTTATTAATTCCTTGTTTCTCTGTTTCTGCTTCGTCATACTAACTAGCAACTCGCAATCTAAACATTATCAGGATATCTGAAGAAATCAAAGGAGAACAGGGCCAAAAATGAGAAAGAGGTAACCACGCTACTTACTGTGATGGTTATCGTTTCTGTTGAATGTATAGGTTCTTTCAGTTGAAACAAGTAATTCATTGATGAACAACTGTGATGGTTATTGTTTCTGTATGTATGCGATCCCCTGTTAGTAGAGGCTGGATGATTATTACAAGCGAAACTACAAGGACTATTTCGAATTCTTGGAAGGGTCCATCAAGGCAAAGAAAGACAAACTCTCAGAAGCCGAGAAAGGAATTCTCGACTGGCTTCAGACCAACAAATGATTGCCGATTCCATCGTAGTGCGGCACTGGTGTCCTTCAAATCAAATAAATGGTTTCCTCTTTCTCTTGTTCAGCTTTGAGGGAATGAAGAAGTAACCGGATATGCATTATTCTTCTTCTTTCTGTGCCCTCCTTATTGAAGGCCCTGGTGGGAAAACTCTTTTAGCTTGCTGAAAGTGTGGCACTGGTGCCTGTTACCATTCCTATTCTTCCAAGTGGGGTTTTGTATTACATATTAATAGTAAGTAAAATAGAAATTAAAACTTGTGCAAACGGTAGACATAGCTTTAAATGTAACAAATATTAGGACTGAATTGCTGGATTTTCCTTTATTCGTTTTACCTCCCACCATCCAGAATTGAAAGCATAGACCATTCATATTTTTAGAAAAGCTCTTTCTTTTTCCTTTTTTTTTTGCTCTCAGCAGAAAAGATTTGGTCTTGAAAGATACCAAGAACAAACTAGACATAGAAGGAAATTTATGTTACTTATCTGAGAAATAAAAAAGAGAAAAGAGGATCCATCTTGAGAGTCATGAGGATACATAGAAAAAGCTCAACGAATAGAATCATCAATAGTTGTCAAGGTATTGATATGAGTGCCTTTTTGTTTAGAACACCTGACCAATGATTTTACATGAACAATGCGTGGTTAATTTTAGCACACTTATATTAATATCTAAAAACCAACTTAGAGGCTGATGAGCCGTTTTTCCCTCTAGGTGGACAATCATTAGTTCAGCCATATGGGGTCAATGGGTCAAACCTGTGACATCATGACAAGGAAAATAAAGTCATACAAAAAACCTATAACCTGTTGAATGGATCACTGGATCATCTGTTTGGGTTGATGGGTCATTGACCAAGTGAATGATTTTATTCATATGGTGGGTTATTGGGTCACCAGTTGACTAGCTGAGTCAACAATGGGTTGAAAACATTAGTTTATCTAGGTTTTGTTTTGCAATGAAATAACTTATATTGGTTCCCTAATTGAAGTAGCAAGTAGCAAAAAATCAAAGTGATTTAACACGAAAGAGTCAAAAGTTAACAGTAAAATGAAAGCAACATCAACTGGAGCCAAGGCCACCTGTTGTGTTAGTCCAAGAGGGAGATATAGGGAGAATGTCTATGTATGACCTTATATGTGTTTATGAGTTAGACACCAATCAAAAACAGAATGTTTGTATTGACTAGAATGGAACAAAAACGAACAAAACAGAGGTATGGAATGGAGCTATGCAGAGTGGGGAGATGTTGCTTTATTTTACTACTAACTGAGAGTCGATACATTGTAAAAAATACCTAAAGTTAGGTCCATACCCAGATCAGTTGACACTCTTTTTTGGAATGATTGTGCTTTCATTAGCCGACAGATTTAGAGAGAAGTAGAAGAAGAAGCTTCTTGCAAAGAGTAAACACAACACACTCCCATTGCTATCATGGTGGTGGTTCTTATCCTAAACCCGTTTTCTGGCTCTCCAAATAAAAAATTGGTCCATTGCAATTTTCCTTTACTACTAGAGCTGCAACTTTTAGAGGGTGTTCTTTTTTTGGATTTTGAGAGGAGGAAAGTTGGTCAATAGGATTTTGATTCTCATTGATCAAGAAACCCATGTTCATTTTTTAGATTTATGTGAGAACCAGTAAAAATTTTTTTTCTTAGGTATCACTTATCCGGGTAAGTAATACCCATCTCCTAGGTAGATAAATTAACTTTCCCATCTAGGGAAAAATTATTAATACTTGAATAGGATACAAATATCCTTTTTAATAATAAAATTTTAATGACTAAGATTGTCATTACCTTATTTTCATGAAAAATAAAAGAATATGGTCAACTGACTTACCGAAAATCAAACGGGGCATTAATGGCCCGATTTCTCATTTGTACACTGCTTGGGCTCAGGCCTTCAGTTTAGGCCCATTCAAATTATGACAACCTCAACCCGAGCCCACCCAAGTTGCATTCCTGTTTCACTTGTACCTTTATTTTAGGCCTTCAGTTTATACGATGTGACATAGCATAGTCTAGGTGATGCCTTCAATGATGTCATAAAATCTTGTTTTCGTGGCGTGATTTGTTTCTTTCCTTCTAGGCTTCACTAATGTTACAAACCAGGAAAATGCATGGAATGCCAGATCATCAAGCAGGTGTCGTGAGAGCGAAGCATCTAAAATCACTGAATATAACTTAAACATCATGGTTTTTAAAACTGAATCGGTCAGGGTCCAGTTATTGGTTCGAAGGGTCTGATCGTTTGACCCAAATGGTTGGTCCGTTCTAACAAAAAAAATAAAAAAATAAAAAAATTGAAAAACGGTCAAAACCGTTCAAACAGTTAACCGGCTGGTTCAACGGTTTGCTGACCAAAATCAACGGTTTTGGGAAAAAAATGGTTTTGAGGAAAAATGGAACCGATCAAGTGACCGGTTCACGGCTTTTCCGGTCTGGTTTTGAAAACCATGTTAAACATATAAACCACTTCAACACTTTTGAAGGAAAAGTTTATTTATTCGGGTAAGTGTAATTATTTGGGTAAGTTTTTTTGGGAAACATTTACACAAGTATATGTATTTGTCCATATTCTTTTATTTCCCAAGTAAAAACAGGAAATGACCATTTTAACTATAAAAATTCATTATTAAAATAGGTGTTTTTGCCCCATTCAAGTGTTGGAAACTTTCCCCCCAAGTGGGAAAGTTATTTACCCACCTAGGAGATGGATAATCCGGGAAAATAAACATTCCCTTATCCCTACATTAATCTGAAAAAGAAACATGGGATTCTTGATTTATGGGAACCAAAACCCCATTAACCAATTTTTCCCCCTCTCAAAATCCAAAAAAAGAACGCCCCCTTCGATTACATTTAATGGTGCAATTTGATTCATAGCTTTATCCCCAATCTTGACAGCCATTTTAATCTTGAGGTTAAAAGTTATCCAAAACCAAAAACTCTTCTCTTCAATATCGACAGCCATTTTAATCGAGCTACATATCCCAAATGGGTGGCATGGCAACACAATCAGCGATATTCCCCAATTGGCATCGAACAGTTAATTAGAGCTGTCAATATGAAAGAACGAAATTCATCGATGCATGTTTGAGTTGTGTAAGGTATACCAGGACCTAATTCATTGATGTGGGCCATATAGTAGTATACCAACATTTGACTTTTGATCTAAGGCCATTTAATTGGCAAATCCAACTCTTAATATAGGGGAATATTCATTTATCCTCACCTCACAAAATTTTATTTCTGAAAATAGTGTAGTGGGGTAATTGCTGCCAATACAAGGGGATATAGTGTTATAAATGGGGTATTGGAAGTTTTATATTGTTTTGCATAGGAAAAAGTTAAAATTTGTGGGGTGGGTTTCAGTGAGATTCCCCTTAATATAAGGGATTGTTTCATACCATTGAAGACATTTCAAGTATGAATACTACTATATAAGTGCATTTTTAGTTTAACAATGTTTTGAGTTAAAACCAGGGTTTTCAAAACTGAACCGGATTGGATGGTCGGACTGGAAAAACCAAGAATCAGTCACTTGACCGGTTCTGTTTTTCTCTAAAACTGTTTTTTCCCTCAAAATCGTTGATTTTGGTCAATAAACCGTTGAACCAGTTGGTTAACTGTTCGAATGGTTTTGACCGTTTTTCAAATTTTTTATTATTTTTTATCAGAACAGGCCAGTCGATCAGGTCAGACCATTCGAACCGGTAACCGGACTCCTGACCGATTCGGTCACAAGTTCGTTTTTAAAAACCATCGTTAAAAAATCTGTGCTATTAAATAGTATTCATGCCAGAGGCGTTTCAATAAATATTAATTTGATGTTTCCTGTTTTAAGAAGCAAAATCTCAACCTTGACTGTGCTAATATAGTGCTGACGTGTATGAAAACCACACATTTTTCACCATGCAAAAATCAAGTAGTGTTTCAACTCAAAAGTTGTCCACATCATGGTTATGAGGTAGTTCGTTGGATTCCAAATGAATTCAAAGTGTGGTCAACATGAAATGAATTTAACTCATTAACTCTGAAAAGTAAATGGATTTCCTATTAGGAATAGAGGAGCATTTTGACACGGGAATGTGGATTAGCTTGTAGATGTTTTTTTTTTATGTATATATATATATATATATATATATTTATTTGGAATCGATGCCAATTTCTTAGGTATCGGTGGTACATTATTGATTATTTTGGTGTTTGGCTGGCCAATATTTGAAGAATTGATAAATTGGTCAAGAAAACAATGGTCAAAATTAAGTTGAAAAGAGAAATCAGCAAATTTGATAATTCCTCTTTTTAGGTCAGTTCTGATTATTTTTGGATGATCTAACATCTGCTATGGATTGGGAGAGAGAGTTTCCATTGATTACGGATTTCTGCAAAAATTGTCGAATTCTGAAAATTAGCTGACACGAAAGCAATGGACACCGCATTGCTCAATAATGCAACTCTTCTATGATGCTTTGCGCTAAGGACAAGGTAGGGTCCACTAATAAGACAGAAGTTGGATGTATCTTTCCTTCCACAGTCCCACGTTCATCTCTGCGTGGGAGTTGTATGAATGAATGCCTGGATGGGGAATGAGTCGTTTATAAATTAGGGTAAATCTCTTAAACAATGACATCTAGTATCCTTATTGTTTAGCTATTCTCTTGCGGTACCTTTAAGTTTTTTGATAATTGTCGAATTTCTCCCCTGTTATTACTCGACTGTTGGGTCCCGTTTACATATGATACCACATAATTGATACTTTTTTCTATAATTCCCAAACTACCATTTTATGGTCGAAAATACCCTTTTAGTTTTAATTTGGGCTCGTTGGCTATGTCAACACTGAACCGGTTGGACCTATCACCAACATTGGAACTAAGGCTCACCGACATCCAGTTGCCAATCACCGGCATTGATTGTCAGTGTCGGCATCGTCGGTGCGGTGGACTTTTCGTAGTGTAGGTTATCAGTCACCGGCGTCCTCTTACAAAACAGTGACCCCATGGATTGAAACCTGTTTTAACTTGTAGCGTCAGCAGTGGCGGCA